CTGCTCAGCTCGGGCTGGCATCGAACCGCTGTTGCTCGGAGCTCAAACTCTTGAGCGAGCTCTTAACCAACTGAGCCATTCGGCCGGCCCTTTGTTTGAGTTTTAAAACAATATGAGCTTTATTCATGATACCACTAATACTCCTTAAGTGCCTTTGGAATGCTGATTTTGGACTTTTGTGCATAAGCTAAGTTTGGTGCTCTCGCATTGCTTGCCGTGCAAAGCAGTGTGGTCAACATTGTCATCATTGTACAGCAACTTTGGTTGGTTTATTGTTTTTAACCATATTTTGTAACGAGTGGGAGAGGAAAAAATACAAATGTCTAGAAACCAGTGATAATAAGTTTATGTCTTCTAAATGTAGTGAAGTTGTTCTGAAAATGGTAACTTCAGCCTCAGTTGCTTATTGGATATGAGCAGGTGAAATCTATGCTTAGTCGGGATGAAAAAAAAAGAAAAAGCTAGGGAACACATGAACGATGTGTTCATGTGTACGATGTACGTATCATCTGTACGATGTAAAAAGGTGATATTAGGACTGCTACAGAAATTTTAAAAGTCATCCTAATTATATATGTTTAAATCTTGGCCTCCACATATTTGATCATTATTAATTCACAGTTCCTGAATCTATGAGGTATGAAAGCAGGGTGCTACTTAGAGTTATACTGGGGATTTTATTTAGTGCTATTTGCTGTTGGGTTATATGTAGTAGTATTACAAATAAATACACACAAAGATGTTTCATTGTGTGTGTGTGTGTGTGTGTGTGTGTGTGGCAACAGAATATGCTAATAATATATTGTTAATGTGGAGAGATGTGAAAACAAGGCCTATGAAACTTAGTTTATTTTGGAATTTCAGCTCTCCCAGGACCTTGGTTTGGAATAGAGTGGGAGAGCAGGCTTTGTTAGCTCTCTTTATTTAGACAAGATCTGCTGTTCAGCCTTCTCCATTATGCTGGCCTCTGTTCTTTCAGTTGATTAAACAAATGTTTATTGGGCACTATGTGCCAGGCACTATTGTAAGTTTGGAGGATTCTGCTGTGAACAAAACAGACAAGTGCTAAGGCAGACATGGGGATAACTGCTTTGGAGGGAAAGAGCTTAGGTAGTCCTGGGAGGTGTTGGCAATTTGGGTCATTTATATTTTAGATAGGGTGCCATGGAAGGCCTGCCTGAGAAGGTCATGTTTGAGTAAAAACCTGAAGGAAGTGAACCATGTGGATGTCTGGGAAGGAGCATTCAGGTGGGAGGAAAAGCAAATGTAGAGCCCCTGAGGCAGGAGCATGTTTGAGAAACAGCAAGAGGCCAGTGTGGGTGGAGTGAAGGGAGTGAGGAGAAAAGTAGCAGGAAATGAGGTCGGGATGACTTCAGAGAGCTGAGAGCAGGAATTCAGGGCACATAGAACTTCATGACGACTGGATCTTCTACACTTTTCTCCTCACTCAGAACAAGGCCATGCTTCTGTTTTGATTGGAATAGCAAGCAGAAAAGTAACGTAATTTTACATATACTTTAGAAAGATTTCTGGCCTATGTTTTAAGAATACAGGCATACCTCATTTTGTTGGGTTTTGCTTTATTGCACAGATGTTGTATGTTTTACAAATTGAAGGCCAGGCTGTCCACCAGCAAAAAGATATGGCTTACTTTATTGTGATATTCACTTTATTGTGGTGGTCTGGAGCTGAACCCACATTATCTCTGAGGTCTGCTTGTAGATTGAAAAGGGGAAAAGAGCAAAAACCAGGGAGGCCATGGGCCGGCCGAGTGGCGCGATGGTTAAGAACTCGCTTGGGATGCCAGAGGGCCCCGGTTCGGATCCCACATATGAGGGCTACTGACATTGCCCTCCACAGCTAAGATGCTGAACAACAGCTCAACCTGGAGCTGGGCTGC